TTTCCTGTGCGTGGGTGTTACCTTCTAGGTTAATTCTTTTTAATCTAACCTTTTCTCTAGTTCCTGGTCCCCTTTTCCTATTGGCCTCAGTTGCTTTAAGGTATCTGCTTTAGTTTCTCTGCATTAAGGGCAACAAATGCTAGCTAATTTTTTAGGTGTCTTACCTATCCTCACCCCTCCCTTGTGTGCTCTCGCTTTTATCATGTGCTCATAGTCCAATCCCCTTGTTGTGTTTGCCCTTGATCTAATGTCCACATATGAGGGAGAACATACGATTTTTGGTCTTTTGAGCCAGGCTAACCTCACTCAGAATGATGTTCTCCAATTCCATCCATTTACCAGCGAATGATAACATTTCGTTCTTCTTCATGGCTGCATAAAATTCCATTGTGTATAGATACCACATTTTCTTAATCCATTCGTCAGTGCTGGGGCATCTTGGCTGTTTCCATAACTTGGCTATTGTGAATAGTGCCGCAATAAACATGGATGTGCAGGTGCCTCTGGAGTAACAGTCTTTTGGGTATATCCCCAAGAGTGGTATTGCTGGATCAAATGGTAGATCGATGTCCAGCTTTTTAAGTAGCCTCCAAATTTTTTTCCAGAGTGGTTGTACTAGTCTACATTCCCACCAACAGTGTAAGAGGGTTCCTTTTTCCCCGCATCCTCGCCAACACCTGTTGTTGGTGGTGTTGCTGATGATGGCTATTCTAACAGGGGTGAGGTGGAATCTTAGTGTGGTTTTAATTTGCATTTCCTTTATTGCTAGAGATGGTGAGCATTTTTTCATGTGTTTTCTGGCCATTTGAATTTCTTCTTTTGAGAAAGTTCTGTTTAGTTCACTGCCCATTTCTTTATTGGTTCATTAGTTTTGGGAGAATTTAGTTTTTTAAGTTCCCTGTATATTCTGGTTATCAGTCCTTTGTCTGATGTATAGTTGGCAAATATTTTCTCCCACTCTGTGGGTGTTCTCTTCAGTTTAGAGACCATTTCTTTTGATGAACAGAAGCTTTTTAGTTTTATGAGGTCCCATTTATCTATGCTATCTCTTAGTTGCTGTGCTGCTGGGGTTTCATTGAGAAAGTTCTTACCTATACCTACTAACTCCAGAGTATTTCCTACTCTTTCTTGTATCAACTTAAGAGTTTGGGGTCTGATATTAAGATCCTTGATCCATTTTGAGTTAATCTTGGTATAGGGTGATATACATGGATCTAGTTTCAGTTTTTTGCAGACTGCTAACCAGTTTTCCCAGCAGTTTTTGTTGAAGAGGCTGCTATTTCTCCATCGTATATTTTTAGCTCCTTTGTCAAAGATAAGTTGCTTATAGTTGTGTGGCTTCATATCTGGATCCTCTATTCTGTTCCACTGGTCTTCATGTCTGTTTTTGTGCCAGTACCATGCTGTTTTTATTATTGCTTTGTAATATAGTTTGAAGTCAGGTATTGTGATACCTCCTGCATTGTTCTTTTGACTGAGTATTGCCTTGGCTATTCGTGGCCTCTTGTGTTTCCATATAAATTTAACAGTAGATTTTTCAATCTCTTTGATGAATGTCATTGGAATTTTGATGGGAATTGCATTAAACATGTAGATTACTTTTGGGAGTATAGACATTTTTACTATGTTGATTCTACCAATCCATGAGCATGGGAGATCTCTCCACTTTCTATAGTCTTCCTCAATCTCTTTCTTCAGAAGTGTATAGTTTTCCTTGTAGAGGTCTTTCACATCTTTTGTTAGGTTTACACCTAGGTATTTGATTTTTTTTGAGGCTATTGTAAATGGAATTGTTTTCATACATTCTTTTTCCGTTTGCTCATTGTTAGTGTATAGAAATGCTAATGATTTTTCTATGTTGATTTTATATCCTGCTACCTTGCTATAGCTATTGATGATGTCTAGAAGCTTCTGAGTAGAGTTTTTTGGGTCTTTAAGGTATAGGATCATGTCGTCTGCAAATAGGGATATTTTGACAGTTTCTTTACCTATTTGTATTCCTTTTATTCCTTCTTCTTGCCTAATTGCTCTGGCTAGGAATTCCAGTACTATGTTGAATAGGAGTGGAGATAGTGGGCATCCTTGTCTGGTTCCTGATTTTAGAGGGAATGGTTTTAATTTTTCTCCGTTAAGTATAATGCTGGCTGTAGGTTTGTCATATATAGCTTTTATAATGTTGAGGAACTTTCCTTCTATTCCTAGTTTTCTTAGAGCTTTTATCATGAAATGATGTTGGATCTTATCAAAGGCTTTTTCTGCATCTATTGAGATGATCAAGTGGTTTTTGTCTTTGCTTCTGTTAATGTGGTTTATTACGTTTATTGATTTTCGTATGTTGAACCACCCCTGCATCCCTGGGATGAAGCCTACCTGGTCGTGGTGAATAATCTTTTTGATGTGTTGCTGAATTCGATTTGCCATTATTTTGTTGAGGATTTTTGCATCAATAAGAACATGGTATTTTATACAAAAGAAAAATTGAAAAAGAAAAAAACTAAGACAAAAAGACATTGGAATATACATTAAGAAAATTGGTGTAAGAAAATAAAATCTTTCCTGGAATTTTTTAAGATTTCTTTTCCTTGAGAAGAAAGCCAGATCATAAAGTAAAACACACTCGGTGTTAATAAACAAAAACCTCACATATCTGAAATTTAGGGTTTTTTCCAAGACAAGCTAACATTTTGCTCTGTCTGCTTTTTCTAACGGGCACATTTCATTTAGTCCAAATCCTCACTATGGGAAAAACTTACATCTCCATCTCCAGCGGCCCCAGGGTTTCTTGGGCAGTGAAGTATGTGACTGTGGTTTCAGAAGCCTGGCTGTTCTCATCTCACCAAAGGCACAAATGAAAATTTCCAGGCACTCAGGCCCCAAACAGCCTTGTGAGGATAGACAGTCTTGAATCTTATCAGCCCTCAGAATGTGTCACAGCCTTGAAAACTATTGTCACCCTTTCCACCCCCAGCAGCTTTGAGGGGTTCTGCCTCTCAAAGCAAGAACAACTGAAGAATGGCAGTCCTGGGGCGGTTTGAGGTGTGGACAGCCTAATCTCTCGCAGGCCTGCAGACGGTGGTGCCTGCTAATTTGTTCTCATTAGGCTGCTCTCTAGGCCACAGCTGTGTTTGGAACAACGTTGAGCTATGTGCCAAGATTCAGGGCTCCCTTGAGAGCAGGACTCTCACCCACCGTGGTGTCACTTTCTGGTCTCAGAAGCCAGTTCTATGCCATCCAGCTTTGCACCTGACTTTCCAGAACCGTATGCTGCTGTCCCCTGCTCTGGGGTAACCTACAGCCTCAATGCCACCTCTTCTAGACTGTGTGGGCACAGCCAGGGCCTGCCCCTGCCCCTGCCCCTGCCCCTGTCCCTCCCCCATGTAGGCTCCAGGCATGTTCTTCTCTCTCCTAAGTGTTTTAGCCAATCTAACAAACTGGGAGGGGGATCCACAGAGCCACTGTAGCTTAAAGCCAAAAAGAATATTAGGAATGTTCTAGCCAGGACTTGTGCATTTTCACATGATGAAATTTCAGTCCCCACAGTACATCAGTGTCCCACTGTGGTAGAGGTAGCATTGGAACTGAGAGAAGACCTGGAGTGAGAAGCCATTTTTTTTATTATTTCTTTAATTTTTTTGTACTCATGAACACTACTGTGAAGCTATACTCCCAGCCCCAGAATTCACAATTTTATAGAACAAATTGTAGTTGGTGTATTTAATCAAAATTTGTACTCTTTTTACATTTGTTAATGACCCTCGATTCACATCTAACATCTAATGTCCTAATAGGACCATATACAGTGTATATACATCTATAAAAAACTTTTATTAGTGTATATTAATTGTATAAAGGGGTTTCACTGTGATATTTCCATACATGCATATAATGTACTTAATCAATTCAGCCCCTCTATTACTTTCTTATCTCCTCACCCATTTTTTACAATTTTTAGTTGGTTTCATTTTCTATTTTCACATATGCATAGAAAATACTAGGATCATATTCACTCTCCATCACCCTCTCTCTGCCCCTTCCTATTGGTTCCCCAAAAAAAACACTTTCATGTCATCTTTTTTAGGTCCAGATTCTACATGCTAATGAAAATGTGCAATATTTGACTTTCTGAGTTGGTTTATTTCACTTAACATGATGAGCTCCAGTTCCGTGCATTTTCCTAATAGGATCTTTCAAAAGTCAACTTTGAAGTGGTTCAGTGGAACCTCAGCCGGGCTGTCGTGACACCACAGTGGTTGTAACTTCTGCCACCTCCTGAAGATACTTGCTACATGGAATACCTAAGACTGCAGCCTTCCAGATGTGCAGTTTGGCCATAGTGGAGTGACACTGTGCGTGCCAGGGTGATCTGTGGCAGCTTGGTACTCAGGGTTATACATTTCCCTTTCTCCCTATCATAATGTCTTCAATAAAATCAACCTGAAGGGATCCTAAAGTGTATATTAAACATATATTTTGTTTTTTCTTTCCACCAACCCATCTATTAGGGATAGTATTACAGACAAGATCAATAACATTTATGTACAGAAGGCTTGCTGGTGGGTTTCTAAGGTGCATAGAATACATCTGTAATCCCAGCTACACAGGAGGTGGGGTTAGAAGATCAGGGTCTGAGGCTGTCTTGGGCAAAAGCATAAGATTCTACTTGAAGACACTAGAAGGCAAAAAGGACTGGGGATGTGGCTGAAGTCGTAGAGTGCTTGACTGGCAAGCATGAGGCCTTGAGTTCAAGTCCCTGTATCACAAAAACAAAAAAGAGTTAAGGTGGACTGAAGCGTATGTATTTACCTCTGACTGTGTTACCGCTTTTTGCTCCTTCTTGAGTCATGATTTCACTTCTCTGTGGTTCCTTTGCTGAGCTTCCATTTGCAGCACACACAATGTAGGCTTCCTGAATTCAATGGTGCGTCTTTCTTCCAGGCAAAGTACAAACCCACCACATTGACTGTGCAGCCACTCAGATCTGACACCATCTTGTCTTCCAGGCTCTGCGGCTATCCTCCTTTTTATGACGAAAATGACTCCAAGCTCTTTGAACAGATCCTCAAAGCGGAATATGAGTTCGACTCCCCCTACTGGGATGACATCTCCGACTCTGGTGGGTCTCCCACATGCAGCTCCCATGGATGGCCTCTTTGATGCTTATTACACCCAGACCACTTGACTGTGACAGTCCCAGGGACCCTGGGGACTCAGAATGGTCCTGAGGCTCGAGTCTTCATACATTGGGGTTGCTATCCCAAAATACCACAGACTGGAGCTTACACAATAGCATTTATTTCTCACAGTTCTAAGGGACCTTGATCTTGAAAGTCCAAGATCAAAGCAGAAATACATCTGCTGTCTGGCCAGGGCCTGATTCCTAGTTCATAGACAGCTATCTTCTTGCCATGTCCTCACAGGGCAGAAGTTGGGGCAGGGGGCTTTCTGGGGCCTCTCCTATAAGAACACAAATCTTTCATGAGAGCTCTGCACTCGTGACTTAAAGCACTCTCAAAGTTTCCACCTCTATTGCCATCATCCTGGGACTTAGGATTTCAACATAAGAATTGTGGGAGACACATTCAGATCATGACTACCCTCGAGGAAGATTTATGAGCTACATCTTTGGGCTTGACTTGGAGGACATGCTTGGGACATCTGACCTGAGCTTGGCCTAGGTATAAGGCCTCACCCATCCACCCCTCCTGTCCATGCCTTGACCTTGATGCCCTGGGAGTGAAATATAATTAGCTAGCATTCATTGAGTGCCAACTGTGTGTTGATCTTCAGAAGCTATGTACATATGCCAACTCACTCAGTCCTCAGGACAATCTGTCACTTGAATATGGCTATTATCCCATTTGACAGATGGAGAAACTGAGGCCCTGGAAGCTGGAATAACTTGACCAGAATCACATGGCTAGTATATGCCAGAGCTGGGACTTGAACACAGTCTTCACTCCAGAGGCCTCTTTTTAAATTATAGTGCCACACTGAAACGTTCTCAGGGAAGGTCACCATCCTTCCTGAGGGAGAAAGAGCAAAACCAAGGCACAGGTAAAGTGACTCAGTCTCTCTGGGCCTCAGTTTCCCCAGGGAGGAAATGAGTCTCTTCTCATTTCTCTTCCAGTCTCTTCTGCCAGGGAGACTGGAAGAAGGATGAGGTGAAATGGTGACTATGTTTCCAATGTGCTTCTCAGAGAAAGGATTTATAATTTATTTCTCTTTATCTGAAAAACTCCTCAGCCTTCCAAAACCCAGGCCCAGAATACATTTCTCCAAGGCTTGCATTCCCTATGGGGCAGGCTGTACTTGTGAGCTCAGAGCCCAAAGCCTCCTCCAGAAGCCAGTCCTGCAGGCAGTGAGCTGCCAGCCCATGGTGTCATCTTTGGGCTCTGTGACCCCATCCCTCACATTCCCAGTGCCCTGCTTCTGGGCCATGTCCTGTCCCAGCCTACCATACTCTCTCCACTTCCCTAGTGAGCACCTCCCTGCTTTGCTGTTTCCTGTTCACTGCATGGTAATAGACTAAGTGAGCTGTGAGGATGGGGTACCCTGTGCCTCGTCCAGACCCTGGCGGACTTCACAAGCCCTCGGTAGGCTTGTGAAGGGACATCCCACAGACAGCTCTCTGAGGCAGTGGAGAACAGAAGGGAAACATGCAATCATGGGATTATTTCCTGTCTTCCGGAAGCCAAAGGCATCTCTAGCATCTGGCGAGCAGGAACTGAGAGCTGGAAGCTGGAGTCCCAGCTTGGTCTTGCCACTTCCTCATTCACTGGGTCACCCTTGGAGTCTCAGCCTTGGCTCTGCTTTGACTTAGCACCCAAATGCTGGTGCCTTTTTTTGTCAGAGATACAGTAAGCTCTGTGGATTGCTGCTCTCCTATTTTTAGTGATATACACGCTATTCTTGAAGACACAATGGTGTCTTGTCACATCTCAAGCCACAAAGTGATTCTTTCTCTTCTTTTTGAACAGCAAAAGACTTCATTCGGAACCTGATGGAAAAAGACCCAAACAAAAGATACACCTGTGAGCAGGCTGCTCGGCACCCATGGTAAGAAAACCGGCCCTCTGTGATGACCATGTCATTGTGTGACCCGACCCCCACCCCCCAGCCTAAACTTTCCATTGCCCCTTCTTGCTTATGAAATCCACAGGTGTTAATTGTATCTCATCCTGCTCCTTCCCCAAGCCAAGGCTTGAACCATTTCATGCCATTAGGATACAAGCTTCTGAATGCACCCATGACTGGTTAAGTGTGCACAAGATAGTTGTAGCTTTTTCAGTTTATAAAAGCTTTTATAGTGTGCATGCCTGTAATCCCAGCACTCAGGAGGCTGAGGAAGGAGGATCACAAGTTCCAGGCCAGGCTGCACTACATAAAAAAACACTGTGTAAAAGGAAGGAAAAGAGGGAGAGAGGGAAAAAAATGGAAATTTTCTGAGGATCATTTTTAGTGAAGTTCCTTGCCCAATGAAGCATTAAGACTGGAGTTTTATTCCTTGAGTTTATTACTCAGTAGTTAAACAAATTGAAGTGATACACACTTTTCCATTTCGGATGCTTTTTGATCACTGTTTGCTCAACTCTAGGGGGACAAAGTGATGCTTAGTGGCTCTCACATTCTCAGCAGTGTGCTTAGGGCCATTCTGTGTCTGTGCCACTTTCTAATTAAAGCCCAGCCTTACTATCAACTAACTGTGACTGGGTTTACACTTGTCTTTTCTAAGCCTTGATTTTCTCATCATTAAATGAGAATAACAATGCCAAATTTACAGAGATGACATAATAAATAATGGAGATGATTCATGTAAAGAGATTAACAGGATGTCTGGTACAGAGAAAATGCTTAGTTAATTGTAGCTCTTTTCATTAAAGCCCTGTGAGCATCCATTTTGAAACAAATGCCAAAGGTAATAAAGTATCCAGTGTGTTCATCAGCTTTGAGTTACTGTCATAAAATAATAGAGGTAATCAGCTTAAAATGAAGAAAGTGGTTTCTTGGCTCACAGTTTTGGAGGCTTAATCTGTGATTGGTTGGCCCTGTTGCTTTTGGGCCTGTGTCCAGGCTGAACATTATGGCAGGGGTTGTGTGGTGGCCAGGAAGTGAGAGAAAGAGACTGGTATCCACCATTCCCTTTTGGGGCACTCCCCCGATGACCTAAAGCTTAATAACACAAGGCTGGGGACTAAGTTTTTTTTTTCCCCAGAACTAGGGATTGAATTCAAGGCTCATGTTTGCTAAACAAGTACTCTCCAACCTGAGCCACATTCCCAGTCCTGGAATTAAGCATTTAGCACATGGGACTTTGGAAAACATTCAAGATCCAAACTATACCACCCAATATAATGAAAATAGGAGGCTGAGGGCGAAGCTCAGTGGCAGAGCTCTTATCTAACCTGCAACCTGGGTTTGATCCCCAGGACCACAAAATAATAGGAAAGAAATGGACAGGACATTGGATTCAGGAGGAAGTCCCCCAAGGAGCATTAGAGAAAACAGTCTGCTGTTTGGCCCACCACCTTCTCTAGTCTTTCCTCCCAGGTCTCCTGTGCTGGACCTCCTGAGAGGAAAAGCCATGACCCAGTTTCACAGTATTTTAATTTGTAACGCCTGCCATTGGTTGGGTCTCTGTTACATTCCAGGCATTATGCTGATTACTTGAAAATGCTCTGGTTTCCTTTATGAAAACCATGTGAAGTGGGTTTTTTCGTTTCAGAGATGAGAAATTAGAAAGGTAATGTAATTCAGCCAAGACTACACAATTAGCTAATGGCCAAGCCAAGATTCTGGCGAGATCCTACCATTAATGCTTCCCGCATAGCTGAGATGACAGGCATATTGTTTAAGATAGGGTCTCACTAACTTTTTGTCTAATCTGGCCTGGAATCGTGATCCTCCCAATCTCCCTCCAAAAGTAGCTGGGATTACAAGCATGAGCTAGTATGCCTGGTCTCCTGATAGATTTTAAGCAGGTGATCAGATTTGATTTTAGAAAGTCATGCCTGCCTGCAGGATAGAAGATGGGGGGTGGTATAGGTGATGCAGTGTGGACATGGTGCAGGAAGGTCCAGAGAAGATGGAAGGGACTGTAAGAGACACTAGGGCATGGAGAGGCTCCAGACAGTAGGCAGAGAACTTATGGGGTGGCTTGAGCAAGAAGGGCTAAGAGTACTCCCCAGTTTCCAGCTGCGAGGCTAGGGGGATGATCTGGGAGGAGGAGCAGGCCTGGTGAGGAGTGTGTCTGGCTCTGGGAGAACTGAGCCCACAGTGCTGGGAGTCTGGCAGGTGGAGAGCTGGCTGGGTGCAGCCCTGAAGGAGTGAGCGATGCCAACTGGGGACAAAGACTGCAGTCATCAGCCTGTGTCTTGTCACAAGTTATATCACCTTGGGAGCTGCCTCACCAGATGCCTTCTAATTCAGAGGGTTCCCCAGCACTCTCTCAGTTTTGCTGTTTTCCAGAATTCCCAGGAAGTCAGACACTGGAAATGATAACAACAAAAAGCATTTGATGTACATGTCACAGAACCCCCCAGTTGTCTGCATTTGTGATACACTTGTCTCTCTGATGCGGAACAGCCAGGCAGGCAAAGGAGCATGAGGGTCCTGCTGGGAGCTGCCAGCAGGTGTAGGAATGGCTACAGCCAAGTTTGCCATTCTGAAAGCCATGGTCTTAGCACAGTATCACACAGAGCATGGTGGGTTGTTCCATACCTGGTCTTCCCACTTCATCCAACCACAGGGCTAGGAGAGGCGGCCGCACACACAAAGCCTTCCCTTAGCCTCAAATCAGGCCACTCCACAGGGGAGAGGGCTCTCATCAAAGCACTCCTCATAGGAATCCAGCACTTCTACCAGGTGTTTCTAAGTCATTCTTCTTCAAGGGTTTGCCTTTGTCTTAGTGGTGCCTACTAAGAAACCTGAGGTCTGGAAGCAGTCTAGGAAAGACATCCTTGTGTCACAGCACCATCTTGCCAAGATCATTTATCCAGGCAATTGTTCTGAATATCAGCCTCTAATTTCATTGACAAGCAAACTAAAGTGGGTAATGCAAGTAAGATTAATTTACTTTAAGGAATTAAGGCATTAACTCATATAATTGTGGGGTCAGGTGAATCTAAAATCTGCAGGGCAGACCAGCAGTCTGGAGACCCAGGGAAGAGCTGGTATGGCAGCTAGAGCCCAAAGATAGGCTAGAGGTAGAATTCCTTCTTCCTCTTTTCTCCTAAAGTCTTCAACTGATTTAATAAGGTCCACCTGTGTAATTTGCTTTGCTTAACATCTACTGACTGAAATGTTAACCTCAGGCACCAGAGGCTCACACCTATAATCCTGGCTACTTGGGAGGCCGAGATTAGGAAGAAACATTAACCTCATCTAAAAAATACTTTCATAGCAACATCCACACTAGGATTTGGCCACATATCTGGGTGCTGTGCCTCATAAAATTAACCGTCATGGTCCTGAATGTTGGCCAAGACCCCCTTCCCTCAGCAGGACTCCAGCCACATTAACTCTGATTGGCTGTAGGAACTGGGAGGCAGCCTGAGAGCCAGGCAAGCACTCTAGGATGCCTAGAAGACACCACCAAGCCCATCTTCAGCAAGTAAGAGTAGAAACAAGCACATCAAAGACAAGAGGACTTTGATCATACAGCAAGAAGGAGAGTAAGACAAGCTGCACAAGATGGGATACTGAAAGACCATCTGTGTTGTTAGTAAAGGCCAAAATTACAGAGAGAGGGAGACATGAGTGAGATGTGCGTACGTACAGATTTGCAGATCTGTGTGTGTTTACAGATTTATCAGGAAATTCTTCTGTGTCAGAAGCATTGGTCACTTCCTAAACAATCACGGTGACCACTAAGATGCTTTGGTTTTTAAGGCCCCATGACTGAGTATTGATGAATAATGCTGAAATCAGTGACACTGAGCACCAGAGTGGCTGACGTCATTACTGTAAACTTCCCAGCCTATCATAAGCATAAGCAACCATTTTCATCATCCTTTTGAGGACTCTGTTGTTCTGTTGTGGCCAGGGTGACTGCTCCCTTCAGCTGCCTTGAAGACTGCTTAACAGAGCCACAGGACCACCTGTAGCTCACTTGACTGTGACCCGGCTTCAGTGAGCCTAGGACTGTGGGAAGTGAGCACAAAACATTCCTAAAATAATTCAGAGTTTGCATTTTCCTCACATCTGGGCCCACGATAACCCACAGAGAAGGTGTGGGAAGCAGAGCCTGGGCAGCAGGGCCCAAGCTCAAGGTTTCAGAGACCATGCTGCTGACAGGCAGGTGGAACCTGAATCTAAGTCTCCCTGACTCTCTTCCCCAGCCTGTTTGGTTTGGAGCCCAGCTGCAGCCTGGAGCAGTGCTCAGCCCAAGGAATTCCACACTTCCTACCACTTTGGCCTGGTTGTTTCCAAGAAGGAGCATCCTTTCTTGGGGACGAAGCTTTTAGAAGTGCAGAAGAGGGGGTGCTCCCAGGGGCTCTTTAGGGGAAATGAGCTCCATGAAGATGTCTATAGTTCCCGGAACCCCTCGTTCCTCTGCCTTCCAGTTACCCGTTCACACACACTATTTCTGCTTTCCTGATGTGTGTCTGGGGAAGGGGGCAACTGGCAGTTGTTGAAAATGGGAGCTTGGCTCACTTCAGGTGCTCTTTGAGCATCGTCTGGCTGTGTGTTCTCAGCGCTGCTGGAAAAAAGAACAGATTTGGAGGGGAAGTTGTGGAATTTCAGACTGGATTATAAATGTAGCCAGCTTGGCACAGGCTCAGTGTCCAGTCCCTCAACCCTGTTTGCCATTGTCAAGGGAAAGAAAGGCTGAGTGGGGTGAGTCCTTATCTGAATAAGCCCTCAGCTGATTGCTGTCATCTCCCAAGCAGTTGGAGGAACAGTCTGTCAATCCGGCCTGTTTTATGTCCAGGGCGTTCTGGATCTGGTAGGTGCAAGGCTTCTTCCATCTAGTACCTTCCTGCCTGGAGGAGTCGTCCAGGACTCTGCCTACAACTTTTCCAAAATTCAATAAATTCAAAAGAATATTCTTTTCTTTTTTGATTGTACTGGGGTTTGAACTTAGGGCTTATAGTTGCTAGGCAGGCCTCTTACCACCTGAGCCACACCTATCGTCCTTTGCTGTTAGTTTATTTTTTTTAGATAGGGTCTCTGGCTTTCTCCAGAGCTAGTAACCCTCCTCCCTCTGCCTCCTGGGATTATGGGCATGAGCCACCATGCCCAGCTTGTTTTACCCTAACTTTTACCTGAGCTGGCCTCAAACCATGATTTTCCTATCTCCACCTCTGGGATATATGGCTGGGGTTATAGATGTGAGCCACCACACCCAACCTCAATAATTCTCTAAGATACCGGTTACCAACCTAAAATTAAATCATTTGATACTGAACCAGAAAAGGAAGATAGAAAGTTAATACCCAGGAAGGACTGAGAGCAGAACATGGTTTCCCCTGACCCAGGAGAAAGGCTAAGTGATTGAATATAGGAAAAGTTGAGGTTATAGTCAAGAAAGGTGAGCAGAAAGGAAGAATAGGCTGTGAGTAACCTTCAGCCCAACAACAAAAACAGAGGGAGTACAGAGTAGGATGAGGGGACTGTCATCTCAGGAGAGGGGGTAAGAGGTAAGAAGAGGAACCTTCTTCTCTGCTAATGGGAGAAGGCTCAGGAACAAGCCAGAACTACAATAAAGACTGCCCAGGCCCATCAAGGACCCCAGGAAATGCAGAGGGGAGGGTACACCAAGCAGACTGAGCTGGGGACTCACAGAGAATTTCATGCCAGGGCTTAGCTCAGCCGGGATGGAGCCAGCAGGAACTGAGAGTCCCAGGAGGTGAGAAGGGTCCATGGAACAGCATTGTAGGGAAGGAGAGCATAGGGACTTGGCTACAAGAAAGCCAGCAGCCAGGCCTGGGGAAGGATATGTGGTCAGACTAGTCTTGGAGCAAGTATAAGAGTGTAGAGGTGATGCCCTCAGTCCAAAGCCAGTGTGGAGGGAGAGGAAGGAAGCAGGAGGGGAATGAACCCAGGTCACCCTGCCATTGTGGTCCTCATGCTGAAGGAAGTGGGGTCAAAAGAGGAAACCCCTGAGAGGCAGGTAATGAAGTGGACTGAGAGGGTGTTGGCTGATCCTAGGATTTGGGGGTTATGGTGGTGGCATGAGTGGGTTTAGAGACAGGTCACCTGAAGCAGTTGGACAAGGCAGGCCATCCACCCTTCTGTGAGTCTCAGCTTTCCTTAGGGTGACAGGAGGCTTCTTGGGACAGCAGCATGGACACAGTGACCCAGCCCCAAGAAGCCCTACTGAAGTCTCTTTGCCTTTGTTTCAGGATTGCTGGTGACACAGCCCTCAACAAAAACATCCATGAGTCAGTCAGCGCCCAGATCCGGAAGAACTTTGCAAAAAGCAAATGGAGAGTAAGTCCTGAGTTTGCTAAATTCCCAGGGACTTTAACCACTCTGGTTATACTTGCTGTGTCATTGGAGCATGCTGTATTTCTAAAGGTTACTGTCACCTGAATTTGCACAGAAATCCCCAGAATTTCACCCAACTAATTTTGCTAAGTTTAACTGATAATGATTAAGAGGTGGACAGAGTGTCACAGTATCAGTGATGTATGTGTGTGATTAAATGTTTCCCTCCGTGGGTCAGCAATCAGCCAGCACTCGCTCATTTGCTGTTTCTTAAGCAACGTAATTCCCTGTTTCCCTTCACTTTGCTAGAACTTTAAACAGTCACCTTTTCAAAAAGAGTCGGGGTGTGTGTAAAAAAGCAGAAAATGTGAGTTGAACTCATCTATATTTTATTTTCTGATAAAAATCAGATTTAAACCATAGAGATTTCATGATCATGTTTTAATCTCCTAAACTCTGTGCTCTGATTAGCATGTGTAATTAAGAGCTGGCTATCTTGCCTTGAGAGCCAACAGTGAGAACAATACAGAAATAAAATTTAATTCCACTGACCTACTTTATTCACAGAAAATATTATTAGGATGGAAGTAACAAATAAGAAAGTAAATACTACATTTACATATCACACTTTGAGATATACTAGTATATGATGCCTTTCTTAAGTCATGGGAAGACTTGATTTCCATTTCTGTTATATAATTATGATATCGGAAGCGAAGATTTTTTAAAAAAATATCTAGAATACATTTGATCTGGAAGAGATTTAAATAAATTTCCATACTTTGGGAATAGGAGACTATAGATTTTCTTCCTAAAGTATTGGAGAATGTTTTAAAAAGTTTGTAGCCAGATGTGGGTGGTACATGCCTGTAATCCCAGCTACATAAGAGAGGGAGGTAAGAGGATCGAAAGTTCAAGGCCAGCCTGGGCAAAAAGTGTGAGACCCTATCCAAAAAAAGAAAAAAGCCAAAGGACTGGGAGCATGGCCCAAGTGGTGGAGCACTTGCTTAGCAAGCATGAGGCCCTGAGTTCAATCCCCAGTAGCCACCACAACAACAAAAAAGAAATTTGTGATGCTTAGGGTACCCAGACAGATAAAAGAAAGCAGTCAGAGTCTTTCCTAAGTAGCTACAATGTTTCATCAGTTTTTTTCTTTCTTAAATTTCAGCAAGCGTTTAATGCCACAGCTGTCGTGAGGCATATGAGAAGGCTACATCTCGGCAGCAGTCTGGACAGTTCAAACGCAAGTGTCTCAAGCAGCCTGAGTTTGGCCAGCCAAAAAGATTGTGCGTATGTAACAAAACCAGAATTCTCTAGTGGGCATCTGAGGTCAGCCCGGGTGGGAGAGGGAGCTAGCCTTTATGAGCGCCTGTTGTTTACCCAGGCACTTTCAATCCTTTGTACTAGTTAGTGATTCAACCACCCTAGGACACTATTTTAATAGAATCATTGAGTATTCACACACCCAAGTGTTATTACTAGGGATAAGAAATCCATGGCTCACGTTCCACACAGCCAGGCCTGTCTGGACAGGGCCCAGGCCCTTCTTGGTCGGTCTTCTTCCCCTCAATTTGCTTCTCTTTATGCCATCACTCTACAAGATGAGGGAGGAATGTTACAGTCCTAGTGGCTGAGCTCAGTGACTTCTGATCTATATTTTTGCTGAGTGACAATAATTTGAGCTCGTTTATATGAAGTGTGTTGGCTTTGCAATGAAAGTAATAGCAATAGTCCCTCATCTTTGCATAGGAATGAGGGATACATTCTTCAAATTTCTCTCTCCATTGTTCCCTGCCTTCGTTTATCTTAGTCTCACACTAGCTGCCTCCATGGCTTCTCTACTTCAGAGCTGTTGCCTTGATCATTTCCATCAGCCCTCATCTTCCTAACCATTGAATAGCCCCTCAGCTTGTCATCCTATGTTGGACCTCACACTCATTCCCATTGGCTCAGAAAAGGGTTCCCTTCCTCTCTAAAGAGCCATCTGATTGCCTGGTGTGGTGGCACATGCCTGCAATCCCAGCACTCAGGAAATAGAGACAGGAGGATCATGAGTTCAAGGCCAGCCTGGATGATATAGCGAGTATATATCAACCTGGGATTAGCTAGCAAGATCCTGTCTCAAAAAAAAGAGAAAGAATAACAGGGCTGAGAATATAGCTCAGTGGTAGTGCACTTGCTTAGCATCCACAAGTCCGTGGGTTTGATCCCCACTATCATGCACACACACACGCACACACGCACACACACACATGTGCGCGCACACAAAGTCATCCCGTCTCATTGAGGACTTTCTGGTCCTTAAGTTTTCCCAAGACATCTCTCTTAGCTTCCCTGACACAGCTGCACACCCCTGAAGACCACATTCCCATGTCAGTATAGATCTTTTCCCACCTGTGACCAAAGGAAACGCCACAACTCGTTATTTATTTAAAGACTGATACACTGGCATTGATAGTAGAGCTCATCCTACAAACTTATTTTATGGATCTCCCTAGGCCCAAGCGTACAAAGGGTTTGGGGCCACACCCTGCTGGAGCTGCTAACACCAGTGCATCCCACATTGGGGCCTTCCAAGACTGTCAGTCAGCTTCCTATCACTGTGACAAAACACCGAGAGAAACAACTTCGAAAAGGAAGGATTTATTTTGACTCAGTTTCTGAGGTTTCTGGCTGTAGTTGCTTGGCTCTGTGTTTCTGTGCCTATGATGAGGCAGAACGTCATGGTGGAAGGGTAATGGCAGAGCAAAGTTGTTCACCTCATGGAAGGAGAGAAGACAAGAGAAAAAGAGAAACAGACAGACAGACAGAGAAGGGGCCAGGAACCAGGCACACCCTCAATGACCTACTTCCTCCAACCAAGCCCCATCTCTTAATAGGCCATTCAGTTATGAATCCATCGATGGATTAAGCCACTGATGAAGGTAAACCCTCATGATTCAGTCACCTCTGAGCACTATGTAGGACCAAGCCTTCAACCCATGATCCTTTGGGGACATTTCATGTCTAAACCATAACAAAGGCCAACACATCTGCCTAAAGAGGTTTTAGCACTGCCTGGCAGAAATTCTCCTAGATGGAGAGGCTGCTAAGTTCACATTGCAATGCTGAACATCTCGTTTCAAAGTGTCCTGTGTCACAGACTGCCTCATATAACACAGAGGGGCTGGAAAGGAGTATCAGATTTTTTCCTTATTCTTAACATACCTACTTCATGGAGCCATGAAAAGGCCTGAGGGGTGCTTACAATGACAGTATGTATTTCACACCTAGCCCAGTGCCTAGGAAACACTAAGTGCTCAATAAATGGGACCTCACATATCATGGTGGCTAAGCTATGTCGTTTCCAAATACTTATCAATTACAATGAAAAAAAAGAAGACAAGGAGGGTTGGATCTAAGAATAAAGCATTTTGAACCCATTGCAAAGGTTTTCCTACAGGTAGGTAACACCTGTCTCCCTAGCTCCAGTCTGGAGCTGGGGGGTGTTGCATGCCTAACATGTGAGAGGCCCTGGGGTTGATCCCAAGCATCATGCAAAAAAAGAAAAAATAGCAAAGTCAAGTGGGTAAACGTTTGGTCCCCCACAACCTGGCCCTCATGGTGAGAAGGGAGAGTATGGATTTACCTTTGAAGTTCTAAAGCCTATGTCCACTGTTGCTCTGCAGGCCTGGCACCTTCCACGCTGTGTAGTTTCATTTCCTCTTCCTCGGGGGTCTCAGGAGTTGGAGCTGAGCGGAGACCCAGGCCCACCACTGTGACGACAGTGCACACTGGAAGCAAGTGACCGGCTCTGGAGGTGGGACCCAGGGGGCAGGGCCAGGGAAGGGGAGCCCCGGAGCACCAGGCAGGAGCCCCTCCAGCAGTGGAGACCCTATCCCGCATGGTGCACCTACCTGCATAAGACTGGAAGACACAAGTTTTTTATGGCCATATTTTATACTGAAGTGTTCATTTCTCACAAACTGTACTGACTCAAGGGGAGCTGAATTCAAAGGATCTGGTGCTGTATATATGAGTCTTGCAAAGCTCTGAACGAATGGACCTTCTTCCTCCTCTCCACAGCTCCATCATTTCCACTCTTCTCAGTGTATGCCACCATCTAGGGTGTACTTTTTTCATGAAAAAAAAATGGTTTCAACTGGATTATTTAAATATTGGTAAATATTGTGCATTAGGGTTTTTTCTTTTCTTTTCTTTCTTTCTTTTTTTTTTTTTTTGAGAAGTACGTCCTTCTGACCTGTCTTTCTCAGTTACATGACCTATATATGGTTTACTCTTCAATAGCGTTTTTATGTTAACCTTTAGGAGATTTTTTTTCCTTCACAGGGAATTTAAAGGTATTTTTAAAGATTCTAATAAGAGGATCAAGCATTGTTTCCAAGGCTAAGAGTATACTTTACTTCTCTTCCTCCTCTTTCTCTGCCTTCCTTGGAAGAGGCAGCTCTGTAGGAAGACAGTTTAGCATTCTTGTCAGGCTGTCTTCTTTTCGGAGGGCCTTCAGGGGAGCCTGCACCTCCTCCAGCAGATATCATACCAACCACAGCAGAAATGAAGAAGCCTGCTCCCCTCAGACCTCAGGCTCTTTTTCACAGGTGAACCTTGCTCTGTGAACAAGATACCCACGATGCCAGGATTTAGGAGCCTCCCTTACAGAAGGACCAGCCACTATTTTGTTTAAAAGGAACCCACACACACCCTCATTGCTCCTGAGGGATGACAGACAAAACTCTGATGTTAGCTATGCACTTTGAAATTTAACCTTTCTCTCTCTGTTTTTTTCTTTTAACTGAAAATGGCCTCTGACACACACAAGTTGTTTGCCTGTTCTCTTAGGAATTCTATCCAAGAGAGGAGAGGGAAATTAACCTGAAGAAGAAACTATTTACCTAGGTTGGTAAAGAGAACTGACCCACCAAGTGAGCAAGACACTGGCCACTGCAGAGATGATTCGGCCAGGCCCAGCTGCCTCTCATCAGAGGAATCTAAAAATCAAAGTGTCACCGATTGCCCCAGGTTGCCAGGGACTGAAGGATCTCCCAGGATGTGCAACTTTTAGTGGTAAAACCAGGAATGTTCCAAGCAAACAAAGCTATGGTGTTTACCACGTGATGGCTAGTGTGCAGGAGAGAGCAAATGCAGTATGCGACTCAGGGCCAGCACTCTGCAAGAAAGCTTTTAGAGAACCAGGCAGGTGGGTCCAATTGCCAGCTCTCCTTTGGTCCCCATGGTTGGCCAATGCCCTGAGGCTTAATTTCACACAGTGAGGCTGTAGCCTACTGAGGGGGTCCCAGTAGGTCTGCCTGATGATCCAGTTACTACCCAGCTGTTATCCTCATGCCCCACTTCTACAGGTGGGAAGTCCTGTTGGGCAAGCCATCTTTGTCACTCCCACAACTTTGACTATGGTTAGCGATGCTCCAGCCTTCCCCAGCAAACACACATGGTGTCATCGGGCCTGGCAGCTCCAGCCTGCCTCCCTAAGGATGAGGTAAGGACATATAAGAGCACTGCAAAAACAGGCAGCTGGTTTACCTGTTCCCACAGGTACCCAGCTACTTAGCATCTGCCACACAAGCACATAGGTGACAACTCAAACTGCAAAAAGCGTAGAAAAGTCTATAAAATGACCACAGTCCCAGTTAGGAAAAAAGTCTCACAAACATTGGAGTCTGAGAAAGCTGAGGGATCTCTCTAGGAGGCCGATCAGTGTCATGGAAATGTTCAAGTTCTGCACTATAAGACAAAAAGAAACAAGAAGGCTACAGGAGTGATCATTTGCCTGAGTTTGGTGCCTAGAATATGTATGTGTGTACACCTTGTGCTGTTTGCTATGCAGCCATTTGCATTTAGAAAGCAATGTTTGAAGCCAAGTTTTAACTGATGATGGAAACATTTTCTGGAGTTGACATGTGGGGCACACATTATATTCAGTTCACTTGAAAGTATCTTGTACCTGAAAAGTGCAGAACAGGGGAAAGGTGAGCCCTGATACAGGTGCCCTCCTTGCTGTCTGGTCAGTTCTGGGCCGTGCTTGGCCTGTGACACTCCAGGTATCCATGACATAGTGAAAGGAGATGGTGACTGATGTCAGCCCAGTAGTAGACTCTGTTGAATGTGACATCAGCAAGTTCATACTGTCTTGATGCCACCAGACTTGGGTCCTTTCCTATTGTTTTAGGAAGATGGGACAGTAAGTACCATATGGAAGACTGCCCTTTTGAGAGAGGCTACAAGAGGAATGGTGTCATTTATGTTTTATCACAAAATGAGAAGAGAACACAGAGCAGACCTTTCTTAAGGACTGACAGATGGGGCCACATTGTTCTGGGTCCCCACTGATGCCAAATTCCCTTAGTACTAGCTGAGCATTTCATATGCTCACTCAGTGAATGTGGCCCAGGCTGTGGGTAGACACACAGGCCCCATCTCAAGCTTCTTTCCTAACCCCAAGCCTCCCATTTAGCCTCTTCACCTTCTCAGAGCAAGTGGATATTTTTTCTCACTTGGATATTAAATTTCGAAAGAGCCAGGTGTGGTAGCACACACCTGTAATCCCAGCTACTTGGGAAGCATAGGTAGGAGGATCGAAGCACATGGGGAAAAGTGCAAGACCCAAAAGCAAACTAAAGCAAGAAGGACTGGGGCTGTGTCTCAAGTAGTAGAGCACTTGCCTAGCAAACTTGAGGCCTTGAGTTCAATCTCTAGTACCACAAAAAATGTAAATAAATTCAAACCTCACCTCAAGAACAGGGAACGACTTCCCCTGGCACAGAACTTGTGACTTTGAGAGGGTTGCGCTCTCCACCTAGCTCTTAGCATCGTACCCAGGGAACTCAGCCAAGGGCACGAAGATGCTGTGGCTGAATAGCCAAAGGCCCTTAGAAAAACATTACCAGTCTGATAAAAGGAATCAGCATCATAAGTCCCTGACTCAGTTTACCTGCCCAGCATTAACCTCATGCCATTCATTTGTCCACCTTGGTATCCAGCATAGCCTGGATGGATTATAGATGGCCAAGGGGACTCCCCTTTAAAGCCAAAGCCTAGAACACCATGGACACAGGAGGGGGGCCAGGTGGCCCCTCTTGAAAGAAGCTTGATTCTCTCATGGAATAACAGCTTAACCTGATCAGCCCACTGGGATTTGGCATTTTATGAGCAAATTTAAGCAGGAAGAAAAGACCATGGCCCAGTGGAGGTGGACTGAGTGTTCCAGAGCGCTAGACACCGTGCCCCTTGGCCCACCCAGGACCGTCACACTAGGGAAATGCACAAGGCCACTGCTCCAGGGCTGAAGGCAGGGGACCTGAAGCTGGTGCCTCAACTTCAGTCTGTGTCGCTTCCTCTCTCAATGATTTCCATAAGCACGAGGCTGGGTTTCCTTTGCACGTGAGAGAGGAAGCAAGGATCGGCAAAGGGAAGCTCCTCCCATTTTTCATAACCAGAAGTCACATTGCCCAGGTTGGCACAATCGCTCCTGCAGGCCCTCCAATCCAACCAGTGCACGGCTTTGCATGGGTTTAACCAGTACTGCCCTGCTCACTTCCTTACACTGCAGTCTGCCTTCTCCTCAACACAGTCCAGACCAAACACTGTTCCGTTTGTTTCCAAAAGGAAAAACAACAACAAAAAACGATGTATATACCTGTATGTAATCACCACTGCTTTGGAGGGTACCTGGTCCTGGATCGGGGCTGCAAGTGTACTTAACTTTATAAACAAAAGTGTTCCAATCCTGCAATTTTTGGAATTGAAAATGTTGAGATTTAAAAAAAAAAAAAAAAAAAAAAACACCTGGAAAACCAATTCTTGAAAGGGGGCTTATTTCCTGATGACACAAAGAAAATTTGTTTACTGATGAGTTACCTTAAAAACCCCAACCCTGGGAGGCAGGTCCAAGGAAGAAAAAAGCCCATGCCCCACTCACCAGGTCCCTTCTTGGTGGTCCCAGTGCAGCCCAGGCACACACAGGAGCACAGCTCCACTGCAAAGTCTGCCTTGCATGCTGGCCACAGCCTGGCCTGCTTCCTGCTCCATACAGCGGCCGAAGCCTCCAGAACCAGCAGGAAGGAGTTAGCCCTTCCTGGGCTTCCCCGCACCTCCAGCAGGAGCAGCTCGGCTTGTGGCTCTGGGGGCTTCACTTTGGCACACCCAATGGCTATGCATTTAGAAGCCAAAGTTTAGCATGTGGCTGCAGAGTCTGGTTTTTGTGGACAACGTGGAATGGCTTCGTGGTGTCTGTATCTTTCTACACCAAAGGGACAAGCTGTTGCACTCACCCTTTGTACTAAGGCCGCTTCTGCATTTGCCATGCCTGTTTTTAACCTTTTTTGTCTCTGGGGAACTTGTCGTACAATTCTAGGTCTGCTGGTGATTTACCATATCATTTTACTTACAGGTGATTTTATTTTCTTATGGACAGGAAAAAAGAAAATGAAAGGAGTGTTTGAGGCTTTCTTCATAGAAATAAGACATCCCTGGGCACACAGAAGCCCAAAACACTAGTTAAATTGCTTCTCAAAGAACAATCTTGGTTTAGACAGACTAGGATTACCAAGAGCTCTTGGATGCCCTTCAAGGGACAGAGCTGTGGGGCAGAGGTAGCAGCCAGGTTTCCAAAGAGCTAAAGAAGGAAGCTCTAGGTCTGTCCTGCAGCACTGAAGTCCGCCACTCCGTCCAGGGCACCTGACCAGTCCAGGGTGACATGAGACACTGGCCAACTCTGCAACAGAGTTTGAAAGATGGGTGGGGTGCACGTTTCAGAGATCACTTATCTTAGTCCCATGATCCAATCAGGCAAGATGACACTGAAGGTACCTTCTGCCCTGAATACACATTGGAACAAGTTCTAAATTGACTTTTAGGGCTACATATAACATAATTGCCCTTCTCATGGCTTCCCCCAACAGTGAGCATGTTTTCCAAAAGCTAACAATGTCAAACCCAGGACTGTCCCTGTGTCTACTATTACCAGGCTAGTGATTGGTTCAATTTTTTTCCATAAAAACATGCTTGTCCAAAAGAAGGGAAAATGTGCATTTATTCCGTGCATGTAATAAACTCTGCAAGAAGTTTAACCCTCATAGGTTTGCGGCACTGCAAAATTGTTCATGGGTCTATGTAGCA